TCTCTAGATAGGCTGACTAGATTCAGCAGACGGACAATCACTGGGGAATGGCTGGGTGTGCCGACAACACAGTGGACAGTAACAGGAATGACAGAGTATATGGGCTCCAGTGGGGGGGGCTACAGGAGGATGCCATTTGGGAAGTGGGTATATAGATGAATAAGATTGTATGGGATGTTCTGTATAAGATACAAAAAAATCAACACATTAAAAAGAAAAGATTTATATTTGAGGAGGAAGTATAAAAATTTATTTCATGTTAATCAGTAGAGGTGATAAACACTACCATTGAAATCTACCTGATGGCTTTATATCCATACTCAGGTGCCAAGGATCCGAGTGTAACCGATGGTGACTAGTAATAATCAGATACATACAGATTAGAGATGCATGTGCCAACATCTCAGTGTTAGTAGCATTAAAAATGTAGGAAGCAGCATATTTTAAAATGAAATTGAGACCTTCTTTAAAGGGCAAAAACTCATTCAGTTTTATGTCTTACAGGGTTTATACTGATAAACCCTGTATAATATTGTATGACTGTATTAATTCAACTGTGAACCTAAAAATTTACAGCCACTTTTGAAAGAGATGTATTCTTGCTCTGCAAATTGTTACTGAGTATGTTAAAGCTGTAATGAAATGCTTCTTCTAATCATGTGGTTATTAAATAAAAAAACAAACAAACAAATAAATAAATAAATAGCAGTATCTACATAGTTTTTACTGGAAACATGTTCCAATTATCACCATTTAGCTTTGGTTATGATTCTTAGAGCAGCACAGATCTGTTACCTATGTTAGGGAAATACTTTTGGCATCCCTTCCAGTTGCCTGGGTTTTCTGATTCCCTTCTAGAGCCTGTCTACACAGAAGCATCTTTGAATGCCACATTTACCTAACCCTTTGTCAGTAGATCTGCTTACCTTTATACCATCCTCCCATCACCATCTTCCCAATAAAACACGAATCAGAGTAAATTTAAAGAGTTTTCTCTATTATAGAGCTGACATTTTGCCAGCTATGCTTAAAAACAAACTATATTTTAAAGTGATAGACTATTAATGAGTTTTTATTACATTAACAGAAATTCAACTATATAAACATATTTCTCTTATAAAGACAAGCTTATCGATAAATATGGAGTAATAAGAACATATCATTCAATATAATCGTGAATCTACTTCCTAGAGTTAACTGAAAACATTTTCAACCATTCTTTGGCAGGAGAGTGAACAGATATCATTTAAGTTATTTTTAAACCTAGTTTCAAGATATTAAGGGATAGAAGGATAAGCATAGGTGATAATCCTAAAGGGCAGAGAATAACTGTTTTAGGGCAAGGCAAAATCCAAGTTTTATATTAAAATATAAAAAATACTTATGCCTTTCAGGGTTGTTTTTTCTGTGGGATATACACTGTGAGAAAGTCTTTGAGAGCCTCAACCTACAGATAGACAGTGCTTCAGCTCTGCAGTTCTGCTTCATCATGAGGTTTTAACGAAGGAACCAGTAGACTTATACTGAGATGTGTTTTATGTGTTTCTGTCGAGTATCAGTTTTAAGAAATAGAAACCACTTGTCATTTCAGATAAGCTAAAATCTGTTCTTCACAAAATCTATGTATATAAATGCTTCTAGTCTCTGCATTAAAAGGATTAAGACATTGCACTTGGGAAGATCTTTTTTTCTTTCATGTACAAATATTTAAAAGTCTTTGCTAATATAACTGCTTACTTAAAAACATAAGGAGTAGAAAGACATGCTGATGTTCCTATTTTTGTGCTTTTTATTGAGACCGGTCCTCCTTTAAATAGTCTATTTCAAAACAGTGCAATATATTTTCATGATTTAATTTCATTTCCAGAAATATTTTCACCATATAAACCTAACATTCATTTTTTCAGGGTATTGCCAAATAAAGGGCCTATAAACTTTATTCAGCTAAAAACATTTTGGCTGTCAAGTTTCTTGATGAATCTGTAGCCCTTTCTTAATGACCATGTTGATTAAGTACACTTGGCACAAATTGTTGATGAAATAAAGGCCCTTAAAGCAGAATGAAAACAAGACTTGTGGATTAACTGCATAAGAAGAACTCGATAAAGATTTAATAAGCATCCAACAATTTTAAGTTAATTTTTAAGTTTAATCCAACAATTAAACTCTCTAAAAATAATTACAAATCATTCATAATCTCCAAAGCCAATGGTACGAACAGGGCAGAAATGGAAGTTACAGCGAGAAGAGACAAAAAATGAAAATTAGGAGAGATTTCCTCCTTTTAAAGTATCATTTCCAACAAATAAGGAAGAAGTAAAAGACACTGTCAGTACTTACTTTGGGAAGTTACATTAGCAGCCTTAATAAAAATGGCTTCATTTACACAAAGCAGTTTTTTACCCCCTTCCTCTTCTGGCCAGAGAGCAGTTAAGTCTGAGGGCTTTCCTCCCTGCTTGCTTCTCCCATCTGTCCTTCATTCCCATAAGGTATGGTGGCTCCTCTCCTCTGAGATTGTGAATGCTAATTTTTTCTTATTTAGGAATTGAAAGCATAAGAAAAGCGTCCTTTGCCTCTGCCTGCAGAATGGAATGTGAAAGAATCAGGGTTTGACTAAGAGAAAATAAGTTACTTTCCTCTCTGAGAGAAAAAAACTCAAAAGTATCTCGTTGACTACTATAAATATACTAAAAGGGTCTTCCATAAGGATGACACCCAGGAAGAAGCTGAGTTCTCAGGGATGAAACCAATTTCTATCAAATCGGAGGGAATGCTGTGCTTTCAAAGGAGATGAGATCAAGAGGCAGGCAGCAAAGTTGTTTGTTGAAGAGGTGGGATGGGCCAGGGAAACATCAGCCAGACTCACAGCACAGGCTGTCCACTTCTTCAGTCTTAGATTTCTGTCATGTAGCCGTTCTCACATGTCAGGTTCTCTCCCCCCCCCCCCCCCGGCATATCTTAAGATGTTTATGTCCGTAAGTTGCTGATTTTGCTTATTTCTGCCCTTCCTTGAAAGATCAATAAAAACAATATCCTCAAATGGGGCCAGGCATGGTAGTGTAGAAAGTGAAGGAAGAAAAATCACCAGTTCAAAGCCATTGTTGACTACAGAATGAGCTGTGTTGACCTGGGCTCAGAAGACCCTGTCTTGACAAGAACAATAACAAGAAAGCCCTCAAAGGGGACCAAACACAGGGTCTCATGTCCTTTCCATTTTCCATATACAGGGTCCCTCTTGTATAATAATACTTAATAATTAGAAGGAAAACAGGGAGTCCATAAATGCTGAAATACTTTCCTGGTCTCTGGAATGTAGCAGGTACTTCCTCCCAAATGGGGCACCCTTACTGCCCCAGATAGGAGGAAATGAAGAAGGAAATCCTGTTAGCTCCAGCTTCTATTTCATCTGAGAGAGCCTTCTCATATCCATTTCTCTGTATTATTTATTTATTTATTTATTTATTTATTTATTTATTTAGGTCTTTTTTGAGGCAGGGTCTCCCTATAGCCCTAGCTGGCCTGGATTCACTATGGAGACCAGGCTGTCTTTGAACTCACAGAGATCCGCCTGCCTCTACCTCCTCAGTGCTGGGATTAAAGGCATGCGCCACCACGTATTTATTTTTTAGTTATATTTTATGTATGTGAGTGTACTGCCTACATTTATGTAAGTGGATCCATGTCGTGTAATGCCTGCAGAAGTCAGAAGAGGGCATTAAATCTTCTAGAACTGGAGTTACAGATGGTTGTTAGCTACCATGTGGGTACTGGGATTTCAACCTGGGTTCTCTGCAAGAGCAACCAGTGCTCTTAACCTCTGAGCCATTTCTCCAGCCCATTTCTTTGTATTCTATATTGCTATATTTTACTATCTTCATTTTTGTTTGCTGCATTTATATGCTAACTCAACTTAGAAATAAAGTACAAATGAGTATTAGTAGGAATATATTTCAAAATAGAAGAAACAAAAAATTTCAAAACACAAAAAGAAAAAAAAACCTGTTAAAACCAAAAATAAACTATTTTATTGTACTAACTCTTTAGTTACACATGACAAGTGTCCAAAAAGCAAAGGAATATACACTTTCTGAGGAAAAAAAAACAAAGAAAAAGTTAAACACAATGTAATTGTGAGAAAATGCAAACTAGGAGGCCAGAAAGAAGGCACAGCAGTCACGAGGGCATACTATTCTTTCAGAGGACCAAATTTGGTTTTCCTCACCCAAAGTTGTGTATCTCACAACTGCTTGTAACTACAGCTCTGAGGATTCTGACACCCTTTTCTGGCCTCCATGGGCACTGCATTCATATACTCAAACACATAGACACACAGATACAAAGAATTAAAACTAAAACTCTTTAGAAGAGAAAATGAAAATATAAGAGCTCAAGAGGAATGCTGATAACACCACATCTAGTGCAATTCTTTGGATTTTAAGAATTTACTAAATGTTATCAAAGAAAAAAGTTGATTAAGTAATTTGTTCAATTAAACAACTCACAAAGAACCACCACCACTAATAATAACCAGCATTTATTTAGTATAAATAAATGCTGCCTTTGACCAGGTACCACTTTTTATGTTTTCTTGAAACCTTGAAAGAACTCTTTAGGGTAGGTATTCCTAACTTATTTTGCACGTAATACATCTAATAAAATAAATAATATAGTTAAATTCAAACCAACCTTTATTTGGTCAGCCTTTGCATCTTTATTGTGTAGTCATTTCTTCCTAATTAAAACATTCCTTCTTATAGAGAAGGAGGTTCAAAAACTCAGGAGGCACAGAAAACTTAGCAGGTTCAGGTTTCTGAAATTCACAAGAAAGTTCCAAGTCTCACAGGGTCAGTCCCCAGAGAGTAGACTCTTAGTTGGAGCTGCCTACAAGTTAGGCAGGGAACTGCAGGGATGCAACTTTCATGCTGGCATTGACTGTTTGGTGATGTAGCTGTTGAGAATCATCCATGTTCCTGTAAGTAACCCCAATAAGTTAGACTTGGGTTGAATTGTTTTATTGGTCTGTTGTCAATGCCCTTTCTAGGGTGAAAAGGACTTTGCTCATATTGCCCTAGAAAACAGACACAAAAATCTTCCATTAAATGGGAAATTTCCATTTAGTTTAGATCAAGGTTACACAATCAAATGTTTAGAAAGTTAAATGTGCAATAAAAAAGGCAGAAGTTTGCTGGCGATCGTGGTACTATAATTGACACTGGAAAAAGGCCTGGGTGAATTAGAGATCTGACTCCCATTGTACATTCAGTGCTACTGGGCTCTAGCTGATTGCTAGTAGGAGGTTGCATGAACAGATATTACAGAAGTTTTCAATTACCCAGAGAATCCAGAGGTCACAAATTTTAGGAAAACCACTCAGCTTTAAAATAATGTTTTACAAGTGGCTTGCCAATCAAGAAACATGAGCATTCTAAGCACCAACTGATCCCAGGGTTGTCCTTTAAAATCAGTGTCAACTGGCTTAGTCATGAGGATAAGAAGTCACAGTCTACTCAACACCATGTGGGCAGTGAATGGTCTCTGGGCAGCTGGAGAGAAATATTAAATTCCTTTCAAGTACTGCCAGGCTCAGACACAAGCCTGGGAACAACTCAGTCAGAACAGTGTGACTCTTGGTATGGCCAAAAGAGACAATAGCACCTTATTCTGAATCCTGCTTGCACATTTCACAGACTCTTGCCTGCATTCCTTCAGGGGCCATAGAGTTCATTATATCATTGATAGGATCCGATTACTAGCCCTCTCCTCTCTGCCATTTTCATCAGACTTACTGAGATGTGTCCTGTGCACTCTACCTTTTCATATTATCAGCTGACATTTTCATCCAAGTGCTGGAAATGCCTCTAATTTTATCTTGACACATAAAAGCTGATACAGCAAGCTTTCATTTCTGTACCTCTGGTTTCAGAGAACCTCTGAAAATAAGCTCAGTACTAGGCAAGTGCTCCTTCTGCTCCTAGGAAAACAGCACTTCCAGGTCTGAGAGTCTATGTGAGCCGACTTAGAAATCCAATAAAATCCCCATCACAATCTTACAAAGAAGAAGTTCTGTCCCATTCCCCAATCTTAAACCCAATCCTTAGGAACAGAAAACACACTTTCTCGTTACTAACACAGCTTGATTATAATATTCCTTTTACTAAGCATTTGCCCACAAAGCTCAACCTGCCCTAGGTATTTCCTCTCTTTTTACAAGACTACAGATAAATGAACACAGAGATTCACATTGTCATGGGGCTAGTTCTTTCAATTCCCCTAGACTATTAGCAGGATCCTTTATTTATAATTAAATAAATCATCCAATTAGCACACAAAGTTATGGCTCTCATACATTATATGTACTTACAC